TACTCTTGAACCCGTTGCTTTTTCGTTGCCGGCTCCTTCTCCACGTCCACCCTATCCTTCAACAATCCAACAATAACTTCCATCACCCACTTCACGTTTTTACACAACTCCTTTTCTTCTTCCGAATTCTCTTTCAAGGCATACTTGGTAAAACAGATATTAAGAGGATTTTTACTAGTTCAGGATATTCCATCCGAGGCGAATAGGATAAAAAACCATTCTGTGGCTGTTGTGACAATCTCGTAGATATAGTCGTAATCCTTCCCAAAGGCTTCACCAGACTTTCATTTTCTCATATTTTTATTTACCTGTAACGCACTTTCACATTGGATCAAATTTTGAGCGAATCCTATAACCACTTGATATAACTTCCCTTCCGTGATGCAGATAAGTTCCTCAAGGACCTTGATTGCATAATCAACTTGACCAGTACTTTCTTCGCTGACAACTTCGAGCTAAGGTGCTAAGGTAAGCTCTTTTTCCGTTATTCTTTTAACGATATAGAGCGAAGCATGGAGAATGGCCGAAATATACTCGCAACGCATGACTTTATTGCTATCGGCAAGTATGGTCCCCATATTTCCCAGCTTACGCTTTATTTCCTTTATACATTGCATCAGTTCTTCGTCATCGTCTTCGAGTTTGTAGGTTACCTAGAATATTGAGAGGTATAAGCATCTCATATTTGTTTGAAGGATATATAAATTTTATCAAGAAAAAATTTAACTTCTCTTTCAGTAAGCTTAGCTTACGAGAAAACTTACGGGTGGAAACTGACGAATAGTGTCTATACCATTGCCACCCATGTCATATTTCGCCAACATCAGGCGCTTCGTATGACGTATTTATACAGAATGGAAACCGGAAACTTTATGATTTTAGCTCTACACACTACTTTACAAATAAAAAATTAAAAATGGTCATAGCGGTAGAGATCGCCCTTTATTATCAAAAGTTACACGAAATACATATAGCAGTAGGTACGCATTTATTCGTTTAATCTAGCAATAAGAAAATTGACATCATCTGGGGATAAATTTAAGATTGTAGTAACATTAAAAGACTTTAACCGTTCTATTACTTCTATACCACCAACATTACTAAAGAGCCTGAAAACCTTTTTATCCATTCCTTTCTTTTTCGAAGGTTAGTCTCGGTAAGTTTATCTTGCACAAAAATCTGATTCATGATTCTATCATTAACTTTAGCATTAGATATATCCTCATTACAAGTTTTTCTAAAATGATCGAACAACTGCTTAATTGCACCATATGCTTGTTTACATTTTCTGAAAGTTTTTCCTTAACTTCTTTGTATGTGCTATTTGCAGAGGATTGCTTTGTAAAAGTATAGCAAGTCAATTTGATAAAGTTTTCCTGACGTGATCTAGATTTAAAAAGTAGATATGATGATAAATAATACTATAGATATCATAATGGAAGTTTGATTACAGTAGCAACTTCTTCAGACTTACTAGTTTCTAATCTTGGACGCATCAAGAACAAAAAAGGTATGATATTTAAGCGAAATCCATATAAAAGAAAAGGTTATATACAAATAGGGTTAAAAATCAATAAGGTTTATAAAAATATTGCTGTTCATATTTTAATTGCAAGAGCATTTATCCCTAACCCAGAGAATAAGCCCTATGTTAATCATATCAATGGTATCAAACATGATAATCGGACTGATAATTTGAAATGAGTAACTCCTAAAGAGAATGTTAAACGTAGGATATTCCCAAATCACAGTCGTATCAGATCCAGAAAAATTATGCAGAAAACGGTAGATGGAAATGTTGTTCAGATTTGGGATTCTATTCAGCTTGCCAGTAATGCACTCAAAATTTCAGAAACTTGTATTTCAAAATGTTGTAGTGGAAAGCAAAAAACTTCTGGTAGCTAGCATTAGATGTATTATAAAGATCACATAGAACCTGATCTAAATGAAGAATAGAGAGAAATAGAGCTTGATTCACAAAAATTCAGAGTTTCATCTCTTGGAAGAATTCAGTTAACAAATGGTGAAATCACCTAAAGTTCATTGCATATAGGTTATTGAAAAATTGCTCAAGAACGATATCTTGTTCATCGCTTGGTGGCTTTAGCATTTTGTCCCAAAGAAGAAGGAAAAGAATATGTAAATCATATTGATGGCGACTCTACTAACAATAATGTATCCAATCTAGAATGGTGCATACAAAAAGAAAATATGCAACACACTGTATGTCTCAGATTTTGTAACTCTAAGGATAGTAATAGATACCAACGTCCTATTAGGCAGATTTTTGACGATGGCTCTCGAGAATTTCCATCCATAGCTGAAGCGCAATGTACAACTGGAATTAACCAGTCAAATATCGGTGTAGTATGTCGAGGACTTTGAGTTTATGCTGGAGGATATCGTTAGGAATACGTGAAATGCAATGATACATGATAAACATTAGAGTTCTGAATGAGTCGAGTTGAGTTGAGTTTAAAGACCAACTCTATTTGATTCATTTTTTTCGAGTCGAATCAAGTCAAATTTATTTTATAAAATCTTCCAATTTGATTTGATTCGAGTTATATAAATTTTAAACTTGACTCAATTTGACTCGACTCAATTTTAACTCAATTCGATTTTGAAAAAAAAAATAAAAAAAAAAATAAAAAGAACGATTCAGGTCATCATTCTTCTTAAATGATTTTTTTATCGTTCAAGTCAAACGATTCTTTATCGTTCTTCTTGAATGATTTTTTTATCATTCAAGTCGAACGATTCCTTATCATTCTTCTTGAATGATTTTTTTATCGTTCAAGTCGAACGATTTCTTATTGTTCTTCTTGAACAATTCTTTATCTTTCTTCTTGAACGATTTTTTTATCGTTCGAGTCAACTTGAATCAAGTTGAGTTTAAATTAAGTCAAGTTAAATATTTAACTCGACTCGAATTTAGCTTGACTCGCAAATAATCGAGTCAAAAAAACACCAACTCGACTTGATTTGAACTTGACTCGGCTTATCTGACTCGTGAGTTAACTCGACTCATCTGGAACTCTAATGCTTACTACTTAAATAGTCTATTAAGATACCTGTTGAACTTCCATGCTGATATTTTTTACCACATATTTTACTTGTAATAACCTGAACTTGACATGTAGCAATTCTATCATTAGATACAAACCAATCCCATACCCAACTTCTTTTTTGTGACCCTCCTCTTTTTTTTTGAATTTTATTTGAATTATTTTGATTATTTTCAACAGAACTTGAATCCATGTTTATAAATTATTAAAAATTTATTAAAAAATGTGAAAACGTCTTACAAAAAAAAAAAAAATAATTAAAAAAAAAAAAAAAAGAGAGAACGCATGTGAAAAAAAAAGGATATATAAATCAAAAAGAAAGGAGTATGTGTAACAAATATTTTTATGAAACAACTAATCTTTTTTAAAGATAGATAAAACAAAAGCTTTATATAGAAATTTTATAGAATATCTTAATTGTTTTACAAAAGCGGATCTATCCTTTTTTAATTAGCCATTTAAAGTATATGTAAATTTTACGCCAAAGTCAAAGAAATATTTATAATATCATTCTTAAATCAAAAAAAGTGAAATTTATCTTCCTTTTATAATCCAAGTCGAAATCACAGTCCAGGAAGACATTCCTTAAAGAAAAGAAGCAAAAGGAACGATAATGGCATTCTAAAGATAAAAAAGAAATAAAAACAATTCTTCACATCACTTACCTTCATAGTCCAAACTAAAATCCAGGTTCAAGAAGGTGTCCCTTAAAGAAAAGAAGCAAAAGAAACGTTAATAGCATTCTAAAGACAAAGAAAAACAAAAAAAAACCACAAGAAAAGAAATATAAGAAATGTTAATGACGTTCCAAAGATAAAGAAACAAAAATAATCCTTCACACTACTTTACCTTCATAGCCCAAGCTGAAATTCAAGTCTAGGAAGGTATCCTTTAAAGAAAAGCAAAGGAACATTAATGGTGTTCTAAAGATAAAGAAATGAAAACAATTCCCACACCACCTTACCTTTATAATCCAAGTAGAAATCCAGGTCTAGGAAAGCGTTCTCTAAAGAAAAGAAGCAAAAAGAATATTAATAGCATTCTAAAGACAAAGAAGAAATAAAAACAATTCTCCATACCACTTACCTTCATAACTCAAGCTGAAATCCAGGTCCAGAAAAGTGTTCTCTAAAGAAAAAAAGCAAAGAAACGATAATAGCGTTCTAAAGACAAAAAAAAAACAAAAACAATTCTTCACACTACTTACCTTCATAATCCAAGCCAAAATCCAGGTCCAGAAAGGCATCTCCTAAAGAAAAGAAGCAAAAGGAATGTTAATAGCATTCCAAAGACAAAGAAAAACAAAAAAAATCATAAGAAAAGAAACAAAAGGAACGTTAATGGCGTTTCAAAGATAAAGAAACAAAAACAATCCCCTACACTACTTTATCTTCATAGCCCAAGCTGAAATCCAAGTCCAGGAAAGCATCTCCTAAAGAAAAGCAAAAAGAACGTTAATGGCGTTCCAAAGATAAGAAACGAAAACAATCCCTACATTACTTTACCTTCATAATCCAAGTAGAAATCCAGGTCTAAGAAGGCATCTCTTAAAGAAAAGAAGCAAAAGGAACATTAATGACATTCCAAAGACAAAGAAGAAATAAAAACAATTCTTCATATCACTTACCTTCATAACTCAAGCTAAAATTCAGATCCAGAAAGGCGTTCCCTAAAGAAAAGAAGTAAAAGGAACGTTAATGGCGTTCCAAAGACAAAGAAGAAACAAAATTCCCCACACTATTTATCTTCATAGTCCAAGCTAAAATCCAAGTCCAGGAAGGTATCCTCTAAAGAAAAGAAGCAAAGAAATGTTAATAGCATTTCAAAGACAAAGAAAAACAAAATAAAACTACAAGAAAAGAAGCAAAAGAAACATTAATAGCATTCCAAAGATAAAGAAACAAAAACAATCCTACACTACCTTACTTTATAACATAAGCTAAAATCCAAGTCCAAGAAGACATCCCTAAAGAAAAGAAGTAAAAGAAACGTTAATAGTATTTCAAGACAAAAAAAAACAAAAAATCCCATAAGAAAAGCAGCAAAAAAAACGTTAATAAAGTTTCAAAAATAAAAAAGAAACAAAAACAATTCCCTATACTACTTATCTTCATAGTCCAAGCTAAAATCCAGGTCCAGAAAGGCGTCCCTTAAAGAAAAATAGCTAAAAGAATGTTAATGCTGTTCTAAAGATAAAAAGAATCCCCATATTACCTTACCTTCATAGCCTAAACTAAAATCAGGTCTAAGAAGGTGTTCCTTAAAGAAAGAAGCAAAAGGAACGTTAATAGCATTCCAAAGACAAAGAAAATCAAAAACAATCCTTCACACTACCTTACCTTCATAGTCTAAACAGAAATCCAGTCCAGTAAAGCGTTTCCTAAAGAAAAGCAGTAAAAGGAACGTTAATAACATTCCTAATGATAGAAAAAACAAAAATACCAACTTACCTTTATAGCCCAGCTGAAATTTAGGTCCAAGAAGGCATTCCCTAAAAAAAAGAAGTAAAATGAAAGTTAGTAACGTTTTTAAGACAAAAAAAGGAAGAATTTTGCACTTACCGTTTGAATTCAAGCCGTTCAAGTTGAAATTTGAAGTATAAGGTCTAGAAGGAGAGAGGGAAAGAGAGAGTGTGAGTATGTGTGTGTGTGTATGTGTGTTGTGTATGTGTTGAGTGATGTAATACGTAAATTTAATATTATCATTATTGTAAAAAAAAAAAATAAAAATAAAAAAAAAATTTATGCTTACCTAATTTGAATTGACTGTTCAATTTATTTACCGGATATCCAATGATCCATCTGGTCAATCTGGTGATATAAATGGATCAATCCAAATCTAGTTAAATTTCGAATAAATGATCAGATATTCAGATTAATCAGATTCAAAGCACACCTCTATAGCAGAGAGCGTCTAGTGGGGTTGGTATAGTGATTAAGGCTCTATTCGCCTTCAATATTATTGGTTTTGGAAGTTAATCGGGTACTATAAAAAAATTGTTGCCTTCCTTGCACCAAAGAAGAAATTTGTTGTATACCATCTATCCCCTTCTGCTCCTCCTCGCTATTTCTCCGATGCACTCCCAGATCTAAAGTGAGAATTACTTAAGAATCTTTTTTTTCCTGTTTCTTATAAACAATAAAAATTACCTTGTCTAGTGTCCATTTCATTTTAGTGAAAGAGTCTATTGGTTTAGCATAAAGATTTAGATTATCAAAAGAATTAGTTAAAATATTATCCATTTTATCTATTTTGATGTTTCTTATAAATATCAATAAAAATTTATGTATGATGATAAGTAAGGAGGAGTAGTTTAATATAATAAGATGATTATAAGAGAGTAGTTTAATATATAAGGATTGAGAAGTAAAAATTTTTTTATGCTACATTCCTATAAGTGGTCGTATAATTGACTATAATTAGTGATAGAAATAAATTAATAAAACGCAGTAACACTTGTGATGTAAGATTTTCTTATTCTGGCTACCCATCTATTTTCTCTAAGTATGAACTCGTTAGAAAAGAAACTAAAGTGTTGAAGAAAAGTCTAGATAAGACATTTCGTGATTAAAGTATGAATAAAATATACTTTTTCAGTTGTGGCTATGCATTTGCAAGGAAATGACTCAGAGATTGCAAAGCTAATATCTGTTTTTTTGCTCAGAAAAATTGAGGATGGAGAACATAAACTTTCAATGAGTTTTACTAAGGTTAATATGGTTAATTTATTCTTGACTCTACATGTTATATGCATAACTGATGACTATTTTATTCTATCTAGAATATCGATGAGAGCAAATGAAATTGGATTAGAGTTAATGTTAGGACATTGTATTAGTATAGATAGCTTAGATAAACAAAACACCGGCAGGCATTAGTATAGAGACTCTACTTCACTTTGTAAAACGTTTATGTATTTTCAAATCTTGTAATTTATTTTTATATCAATAAATCAGAAATTCTGATTGTGACATTTTGTCACGATTTTTTTATCTATGTTAACGAACTTTTGAATTATTCCATCTTATATAAAAAATTATTATTGAATATGTAATCCATTAATTCATTGAGAGAATTAAATTCCAAGCTCTTAGTTGAGATTGTAGAGCTTAGGAAAGAGAATGCTGAGATTCCTGAACTTAGAGAGAAGTTACTAAAGTTTGCTAAGGTTGAGACTGAAAAAGTGAAGTTGAGACAGAAACTCGAGGTAAAAAATTATGAGTTGTATAAAACTATAGCAGATTTTCATCTAAGATTGGTAAACTTAACGCTGAAATTGTGAAGCTAAAGAAAGATAAGACAGCTATCACTAAACTTGAGTCTGAACATGCTGAATTTAGAGATAGAGTCATGAAAGTGAAACAGAGGCAGATGCATAATGATAATTCTTCTAATATCAATTTATCTAACATCAATTCAGTTGCAGATCAGGTTAGCAAAGCTAAGTCGCATCATGAGAAACCATTAGTGGATAAGAAAATGAATACTTTATTACCTGAAGAACCAACACCAGAGATGATTGTAAAGTAATCAGCATCAGCTGTTAATATTCCTATTATGAAGCAATGTGATCAGACATCCTTAGAAGATAAGAAAACTGATACTTTCTTGAATGAGATGCATAAAAAAAAACTAATGATGAGATTAGACAGCGCAAAAAGGAGAAAAAACTCCTGCATAAATCAGCTAATCAAGAGGCATCCTCAATTTCTCAGGATATTTCTTTTGTAAAGGGTCATGATTATCAGAGCAGTTAGAAAAATTTGGAAAAAAATGAAAACTCCATCACGAATTGTGACGATCGGCAAAAAAATATTCTGGTCATTACTACATCTCAGGAAAATAATGATAATGACATTGAGTTCACTAAAAGTCAGGTTATAGAGCAAGAATTAATAAAGGAATTGCTCAGCGGTATTATTTCTGTTTCATCAATCTCTTTGAAGCTATAGAACAGATACCTTCAGTATCATATCCATCATCATCTCTAAATACAATGTAAAACTTAGTCCATTTATTTCAGAATGCAATACGAGCTGGATATAAGGTGATCTTATCTTAGCTCTATTATTCAAATAGTTTTAAAAATAAAGTTGATGTGATTCGCCATAACACTGGGGCTTCAAATAAAACAGCTAGATCACAAATATATAAAGAAATGCTAGAACATCTACCTGGCATCACATTGGAAAACTTGCATATGAGAACTCTACGAGCTAAAAAAATCTGTATATTATTTGGGGAAGGTAGAGTGAAAATAGATAAAATTAAACAAGTTACTTTCAGTGTTTATGACATATCAAGCTTTACTATTACTTAAATTCAAAGTGTTATTAAGAATGTGACTTCAGCAGAAAGGACATTGGAAGTATCAAATCATAATCATGTGATTTCTATCACAAATCATAACGATCAGATTAATGTTTCAGCTGAGGTAACCACAACTTATGACCACACCTATTTTCGCAACAAGACACTAGACCAATATCCTAACTTATATAGAGAATATAGTAGTGAAAACTTCGATTATTATAGCATTACTGATAAGACATTATGCCTATTATGCAAGTTAGGTCATAATGATGAGGAAAGCATAAAAGGTAGATATAAAACTGGATCTTATTTTATTAAGTGTGAACAGTGTGAAATTGAGATAACTGCATAGCCTTATTATTTTACAATACTGTATATTTGCGTTTCTCTTGAGAAACTATTTTTTTACAGACTAATCTACATCGACTATACTTACTATAAATTAAATTGATTTGCAATCATATAAAAAGATAATATGACCAAGTCTGATAAAGTATTAACCCCAAATATCTAGATTGGCATGTCAAATTAAGTGGATTACCAAGCGTTTTGACAGATAAAATTCACTCCAAATTATATAAAACTTATAAGAAAGAAACTGGAAATGAGCCATGATAATTACCAAAAGCTGTGATAAATATATCAGCAGAACTTCAAGCCACTGATTTCAAGCCTATCACCTTTAAAGTCAAACCTGATTCAGAATTAATTATCAAATCCGTCTTAGAGCACTTCCTATACTTGAAATTCAGAAATAGTTTCAGAGAGATTAATAATTATGATTTTATATCACCTCAGCCATGGAGCTCACCATGTCCTATTTGCGATGAAAAACATAAGAATTATGAATTACATGGCTCATGGTACTGTAAAAATAGAAATAAGTTCCCTTATAATCCTGAATTAGTGAAATTGTATTTTCAAGATAAGTTGAAATATTGTCTTACTTGTTTCACTTCAAGCAATAAATTCAAATTCGTAATTGTAGCATAGTTCGATCCTTAGCACTGCAGGATATTAAGAAGGAAAAAATTTTTTGATATGTACTATACTAGGTGAATAGTATCGGAAAATATAGCACTTGGCTAATTTGGGAGATAAATTTAACCTGATGCTGATCTTATATGCATAAAAAACATTAATCAGATACTGATTCTGCTTCTGTACAATTGGACAAGCCAGACATAGTATCTCTTGTAGATCATATTTCTGTTAGTTGAAAGTGTGAAGAGTATTTACGATTATCATATGACATAGGGGACTTTATAACCTACTTTTTCTCAGATAAATTTTGGTGATTTTATTAATATATCATGCCGAATTTCTTACCAAACAATCAGGATAATAAAGCTTATAAGAAGCCGAAAGACTAGAACTACTTTAAAAAATGGCATATATTTAGGGGATGGAAGCATAGATGTAAGGTTTGTGAGGAATGCAATCATCACTCACATCCATATTGCAAAAGGTGTAAGAAGGTGGTAAAAGGAATATATAAGCGATGTGAATGTTCTCAGATAATTTGATCAATAAAGCAATGGCGCAAATTCACCAGACATTTTATAATTTTTTTGCATGAGGTGGGTTGTGAAATTACATGCAACAAGTTATATTATTATTTTTTCGATTAAGTTTTATTGTAGCTTGATAAATAAATGCACAGTAATATTATAGTAATATATACAGAAATTTATTCTCAAACTTTCTCAAAAATTATGTATAGTCTCTGCCCCCTTAATTATCTTTATATATGAATAGCGTTAAATTCTTTATTATTAAGGGGATGCCATTAATCAGATTTTTGTAATACGTAATTTTTCTCCAAGTGATCGATTCTGTAAATTGTATAAAAAGGTGATATCCTAGTTAGTAAATTTTTTTACCTGCCTTAAGCAAGAACCAAGGAAAAATCAAATGAAAATTCTAATAAAATTAATAAAATTTAAAACTGCCATTATTTGTATCATCAATATTTATAATCAAACGAACCTGTATATTCTGCAAAGTAAATAATAAAGTAAATTAGTTTATTGCTCAGCTAGCTTCTTGAAACATGTTATCATGATCTTAATCGATTTTCCGCTATAGATGTTTCATAATAAAATGGACATATTGCTCTTCTTGTTATATATCAGCATTTTGATCTTTGCTAAAAAAATCACTGATCATCATCACGCGTACAATAAACACAATAATTACTCACATGAATCTTATCACATGCAACGGCACAGCAAAAGTCTGGCGCAGTGCATCAAAAAATTTATCTGAAAAGCATATTCACATGCCAAATTCTTGAACCTTGCGCAGTATCATATCGCAGAAAAAATTAATTAATAAATTTCTTGTATATAAGGTGGAATAGAATGTTGTGAAAATGAATTATGGTAAGTATGAATTGAAAATATTAAATATTGCATTTCTTATTATTTTACTTCAGTTGCTAATTTCACGAATTTATCTATAGATTTGAAATTACTTAATCACTGAGAAGTTTCATTAGGGAGAATATTATTTTACATAATCTGCATATTTGGGAGAGATATAGATAGACAAAAATTCTGTGAACATGGATGGGATAATTTATTTCAGAAATCTAGTATAGAAAGAGAGTATTGTTATGAGAATCTAGTAATTAGCAATTGATATAGAAATAAATTAGTTGTAGAAATTTATCAAAAAAGTGTGAGAGCAAAGAAATAACTTGATGTTAGGACTCGCATTAAATAGCCTAAGATTCGCATACTCTCTCCCTCTTTGATAGCATTATTTATTCAATCATTACATACCTCCGGTCTTTCGATCTATTAATTTACTTTTTTTTATTCATTTTTTTTTGCTTAACAGATCGGTCATATAATATAATGATAAATAAAGATTTTAATTTTAATTTTTAAACGTATGTGTACTTTAACAAGCTATGAAAATATAAAATTTACTAAACTATTCGCTATTTTATGGGCATTAGAGAACTTCATAGTTGATTTCTTTTTACATGGTGAGAAGATTCTCTCTGTTTTATAAAACAATATCGAGTGATATGTTAGAACAAATTAATTGATCAATGTAATGATTTAATCAAATAATAACAGTGGCTTAGCTATCATGTCAATAGATCAAGAGCGGTGAAATCTGATTGGTTGATTATCTCGTGATTTATAGAAACTTACCAGCTCCTGAAACCTTTCTAGAACTATTGAGGAACTGGCAGGAATCTAGGGTGATTAGAGTTCCAGACGAGTCGAGTTAACTCACGAGTCAGATAAGCTGAGTCGAGTTTAAATCGAGTTGAGTTTATGTTTTTTTGACTTGATGATTTGCGAGTCAAGTCAAATTTAAGTCAAGTTAAATATTTAACTCGACTTAATTTAAACTCAACTTGATTCGAGTTGACTTGAACGATATTTTTTTATCGTTCAAGAAGAATGATGACAAATCGTTCAACTTGAACGATTTTTTTTATCATTTAAGAAGAACAATGACAAATCATTTGATTTGAACGATTTTTTTATCGTTCAAGAAGAATGATAACGAATCGTTCAATTTGAATGATTTTTTTATCGTTCAAGAAGAACGATAATGAATTGTTCAACTTGAATGATTTTTTTTTATCGTTCAAGAAGAATGATGACGAATCATTCAACTTGAATGATTTTTTTTATCATTTAAGAAGAACGAAGACGAATCATTTGACTTGAACGATATTTTTTTATCATTCAAGAAGAATGATGATGAATCGTTTGACTTAAATGATTTTTTTTATCGTTCAAGAAGAACGATGATGAATCGTTCAACTTAAATGATGATCTGAATCATTCGACTTGAACGATAACTAATTGTTCAACTTGAATGATAACGAATTATTCAACTTGAATGATAACGAATCGTTCAACTTGAACGATAACGAATCATTCAACTTGAACAATAACGAATCGTTCAACTTGAACGATAACGAATCATTCAACTTGAACAATAACGAATCGTTCAACTTGAATGATAACGAATCGTTCAACTTGAACGATAACGAATCGTTCGACTTGAATGATAATGAATCGTTCGCTCTTTTCCTCTTTTTCCCCTCCTGATCTTTTCATTTTTTTTATTATTTTTTTTCAAAGTCAAATCGAGTTAAAATCGAGTCGAGTCAAATCGAGTCGAGTTTAAAATTTATATAACTTGAATCAAATCAAATTGAAAGATTTTATAAAATAAATTTGACTCGACTCGACTTAAAAAAAGAGAGTCGAGTCGAGTTGATCTTTAAACTCGACTCGACTTGACTCATTCGGAACTCTAAGGATACCTTGGATGGTAAGATATTTTATCAAAGAATTTCAAAAAGAAATAGATTATTTTTTTTTAGATTTATCAACAATTGTGAATTTTAGAAATTTTATTTAAAGAAAAGATATTTAATTATGTGAAATAATAACATATGATAAAGATATAATAGAAAATTTTTATAATAATTACGTGATATCAGAAAAATATTATGAGAGTAAAAGCAAAAGTATCAATAATATGATTGGTAGCTCTTGAAATAATATTAAAAAAAGTAATAAGGTAAAATGTAATAATGTGCGAAACTTTATTGAATGATGAAAAAATGATAAAATATATTAAGTAAAAAAAGAAGAAAAAGGAAAAGGAAAATAATTTATTTTAACAAATTTTTCATATAAAGCTGATTGAGTACATGATTGTAATTATTATTAAGTTACTTGACTGATTGATTTAATACTTAAATTCTCTCTTGATCTTATTAATGATCATTTTTTTAAAGAAAACATAATTCTTTCTTACGTTAATTATATATTTTTTGAGATAATTAAACCTATTTAATGCTTCAAATGATTTGGTTCAGTCTGGATTATAGGCCAATCTGAAACTGAACTGAACTATAAACTGGAAAAAATCCAAACTGAATTGAAAATTTCAGATTAATCTGAAATTTTGAATAGTTCATTTCAAATGAACAATAAAAAAACCATTCAATTGGAATAATAATATTAATCATTTTTAGATAAATAATAAAAAAATTATTCATTTAGAATGATAAAGGAATCATTCAATTAGAATGATAATATTGACTCTTTTAGACGAATAATAATATTAATTGTTCTAGATA